ATTGCAATTAAATTTTCGGTACTCTGTATGTCGCAGATAGGAATCCGCCCGGTTCAGAATCCGGCCGTCCCAATTCAGAATCGGGGTAGTCAGATTTAGAATTCTTATCGTTATACGGGGAATAGATTAGTGGGTTCAGCAAATCGGGCCGAATTTGGGTCAGGGATGGGCTGGAGCAAAGTGGCATTACAGCTGTTTTCATAAATTCTGGGACATTAGGCAAAAAATTGACCGACCGAATATTTGCCGATTCGATAAGTTTGTCACTGCCGAATCAAAACTTATCGAATCGGCAAATATTCGGTCAGTCAATTTTTTGCCAGATGTCCCAGAATTTATGAAAACAGCTGTAAGCAATAATACCAGCCAACTATATTATAGCAAAATTAACATTTGGGCAGCTTTACTTAGTGCATAGGCAGCCACTTTATTAGTAAAATTTTGGGAGATTTAGAAAAAATTTATTAATTCCGGCCTATTCCGACCAAATTCGGGCCGATTTGCTGAATTTTTTGGTGGACCCTCTAATCTACTTATACAGGATACCCGGTTCAATAATTAATAAGATTGGGATTAGACTATTAGTACACCGTATAACGATAAGATTCTGAATCGGGACAGCCGGATTCCGAATCGGGCAGATTCCCATCCGGGGTACAACATATATATAAATTATATTTTATATTCTAAATATTGTTAACTATTACTACGTATATATTTTAATAATATACATATATAAGATTTTTTAAATTATATTATATATTAATTAAAATTTCAAACATATAATTCTAGAAAGGTAAATAACGATAGAGCTGAAGCCGTTTACTATTTAAAAGATAATACAAGTGACATTATTTGCAAACTATTTAAAATAGATGTCACCAATATCTTTAAGTAATTCAAAATTTACTAATTATGGCTCACGTGACGATAATAGGTATTTGTTACGTAGAGTTACAGTATATCGATATTTGATATCGATATAGATAAGTGAGTTCTTTAATAAGAGCTTTTAATAAGAGTAGGAATAGGTTATATCCGTAAATTCAAATAGACCTCAAACAAAAAAAAACATTGTTTTCAACGATACATAATTGGATAAAGAGGAGAACACATTCTAGATCAAAGCATTACCTAATTATCTAGAACTAGATACAGGTACCCGTTTGTGGAACGTTAAATGTATTTTATGTAACGTTAACGATATAAAAACACGATAAAGCAAATCAGCAAAAGGAATTAATTAAACTTATTCAGAGATTCCTTGTATGCTTTAAAGATATCGGCACGGTTAATCTTTCAAAAAAATGAAATAAAGTTTAAGTTTACACATAAATAGTAAAAATCAAATGTTAACACCAATTTAATCTAATATAATGATTGTGGTCACGTGTATTTTTTTCGCGGGAAACCTATTAAAATATTTATGGTCGAAATAACGAAGTTCTATGAATTATCTTAATGTAGGTATTGGTGTAACATATAACCAAATTCATGTGAAAGTGGAAAGTGAGATTTGATTTGTTTTCGTTGTTTATCTAAACTTGTAACATTAAAGCATTAGACAAGGCATAACATTCGCTAAAAAAATATTCACTTGAAAATACAATTAGCTCGTGAGTACTGTACGTACGTACGTACGTATATAAATATGTACGTACGTACGTACTGTACGTAGGTAGGTACTGTATGTAGGTAGGTACTGTATGTGCATACAATATGCATACAATATATGTGCCACAGACAAGAAATACAAGGGATGATAAATGAACACGTACGCACATACATAACAAGCGTATGTAAGTACATGTAAGAAACTGAGGCAGGCCAACATTTCAGGCATAATCAAGGAATCAGGGGTAAAAAATCTTCACACGAAACAAGTGCAGGGTTTAAAAGGGTTTCAATGAGTCATTCTTTAATGTTAAGGGTATTGTTGTTTAGAAAAAAAATTAATAATTATATATGTACGTACCAAAAAAATTAAAGTTGCAGATCATCTACAATCAAAACCAAAAATCTGTACATAATATAACGATAATAACGATAGTACTTAAATGTTTGGATGAGCAAAAATAGAAAAAATTCGTGACAATGATTCTAACTGCGTCATCTCGATTTATCGGAGGCACGGAGTTTATTTTCTTTACAACAATAAATAAAAATATACAAGCGCCGTATATTACCTAATAAGATTAGTAAGGCTTGAAATCAATCATCACATTATTTTACGCCTAGTGAATTAATCTATCTTTTACGTACATACAGTACGTACTGTACATACGCACTGTACGTACGTACGTACTGTATCAAAAGGTGATACACTCCTAATACGCTTGTTGACGACACTCGTTGACGACTCTAGTTGACGACACTCCTAATGCGCTTGTTGACGACACTCCTAATGCGCTTGTTGACGAGACTCCTAATATGCTCGTTGACGACACTCCTATTACGCCCGTTGACGCTAATTGCCGACACTCCTATTACGCTAATTGCCGACATTCGTTGCCGCAGCGTATTTATTAAAGCCAAAGAATCTTTCTTAATTTGCAGAATTATCGAACCATGATCGAACCATATTTTTAACTTATCACTTATTAGAAATGATAAGATTAAATGAAGAAACCATTGTATTTAGTTATTATGACAGATGAAATCATTTCTTTATATGGTATAGTATAATTTCTTTGTTTCTTTGAAATCATTTTCCGATTGTCTATTATAGTCAATGACGATATTAAAACTATTTTTTTCGAAATAATATAAAATTCCCGAGGGATGAGAAAATTCTATCGGTGATAGGGCCCGAATCTTTAACTTATATTCAGGCGTTAACGCATGCGCCTACATTATTGTTACATATTAAAACGGAAAAAATGCGAGTTGATGATAACATCATTTGGTTTAAAAGAACCAATCTAATTCATTTTGAGCCGTTATTAATTGTTGAAATACCATATTAGCATATGGTGATTTATTTTAATAATCACATGGAGTTTGAAGTTTTTGTGATAATCAATTTCCCAATGATATCAATTAAAAGAATCCTGAAATGAAAAAAAAACAAACCCTTAAATTTATTTGGTAATTTTACCTAGCAAAGCCACAATTATTAAAAGTTTTGTGGTGCACAAATGTATCTCAAAATCTGGTGACCATAGATCTAACACGTTATTGGTATGTATGGGTCACGTAAATTGAGTTTACTCCTTAACGTTAACGTTAAATCAACATAATATTATGAGAATAATATTATACGTACGTACGTACGTACGTACTATACATAATCCATGATCCACATAATCCACAATCCTTATAATCCATAAATCCATAATTCATTCATAACAATCTATAATCCATAATAATCCATAATAATCCATAATAATCCATAATAATCCATAATAATCTATAATCCATAATCCATAATCGCGTTTAATTCATTACAAGTCGTGAAAGATCTTTATGATTAACTAAACATAGCCAAATTGCATAGCCGAATCGTGGCATTTTCCGTGCTATAACAATAGCAGTATCTAAGCCAACTAATTATTTATAAGTATTGACAAGCATAACTGATAAGCACATAGGTACGTACGAACTTACGTACTTATGTGATGTAGTAATTCACTTACCGTTTTCTATATTACTAGCTATCGCTATTACTAGATATTATCAAAGTATATCATATATAGTATGTATATCATAGTATATATATATATCAATATCACAGCATGTACGCGGAATAACGATAAGCAGAGTAAGTGAGTGCCCTTTGACATTTTCCAACTCATATGCAGAATGCATGCATTGACATGTGCTTATCGACTGATTACAATAATTATCTGAAATTTTGAACAAAATTCTTCTAAATGTCCCTGCAACTCAAGGTTACGCGGTGATGCAGTATTATTAAGTTATATTCTTTTGGTTGCGATGTTGTGTATGTGCATAAGTTCTTGTATTTAAACAGTTTAGGCAACACGCTATGTTTTTCCAATTTCACTTTTTTAATGTTTTAAAGAAAAATAGAATTTGATTTATAAATTCTCAATTCCTCTGTCGTTTTCATCACGTGATTGATCATTGTTAAAATATCTGGTTAGACCATCTCCAAAGATAGATATGCAAAATGTCATGAGATACTTCTCCTTCCAAAGTCATCTTTTAACTAAACTTTTTTGAGTATGGTTGATATGATATTCTTCCTAAGACATGATTCGTTCTTATTCCAAAGACACGATTGATAGAACGCTCGAATTTGAAATTATACAAGCGATCCCTTCTTTTTCAAATCTTAGTAAACTGAACAAATTAAACAAACTAAACAAACAAACCAAATAAACTAAACAAATTCAACAAATTAAACGCGATATTTACGAACTAGTACGTATTAATTTTTCACTCATTTTCACTCATTTTCGTTAAGGTTAACTAATTGCATGTGTTTGGTGTGCTTGACACCATTACTTAATTTCAGTAGGTGATTTTAATATCACGCGAACTCTATGGACTACTATATACGTTTCACTTATTAATAACCATATGGCATATTTATTTATTAAAACATATCCCTTTTTACGTACACAATATTTTTTTTAAAATATTTACAAATTTTTTAATATTATTTAAAGTTTTTTGTATAAAAAAAAAAAAAAAAAAAAAGCAGAATAATAGTAATAATAACAATTTGTTCATTGTCATCAATCAAAAGAAAAAAAAAACGTTTTTCAAAAAAAAAAAACTACATATGTACAAGTATAGTGTATTTACTAATTGAAAATAGCTAAAAATTTCAAATTTCAATATAGATATTCTACAATCAAACATCTATATAGGAAATACATCGTTAGGATGATTTGTGATTTCTGCCAACATACTTTACTAACTATAATTATTATTATTATTATTATTACTATTAAAGTTCATGATAAATTTGTTAGCTTTTTTTTTCATTAACGAATTCTAAAGAATCGAAAACCGTAAAAAGGAAATTCTATTTATGAACAACATACTCCTTTAACCCCATCCATCGTTACTCCTGATGTGAACATTTCGTTAGGATAATAACTCCATACATCAGATCGTCCACTTTCTGTAATAATTCCATAACTACCAAAAAATTTCGATGGTAGGAAAGAAACTAAATTTCCAATGGTTGTATTTCTTAATAAGTTGTGTTTTTTATTTGAATGATGTGGTGTTTCCAACACTGGATCATATAGATCGTCCTTAAGTATTTGAATATCTAATTCTGTACGTGCTTTTTTGTCTTGTTCTAAATGACCTCTATGTTCTTGATAAATATTGATTGGTGCTCCAAGTTCTTCTTCTTCTATTCTATCATTTAATAATCGACTATTTTTACGAACTTGTTTAATCATTGATGTACTTTCGTTATTTTTTAATGCGGTATCGCTTTGTGTTTGTGAATTGGATTTGACGGAATTGCTTCTTGACCGGCGTTTTTTAGTTTTGGTTACGTCTTTAGTATGTCCTCTATATAAATTCATAATATTCTTTCTTTTAGCAAATATATAACTAAATAAATAAAAGATATAAACCATAATTATACTTACGATGTAGTATGTAATTCATCCAAGAGAGCGCCTGTACTCTTGTGTTTCTTGTGCGTGAAATCGGTTCCTTTGGAAACCTTTGCTTGGGGATTTATATTTGAAAAAAGCATTTCGAAAAAATCTTTTGTAGTGTCGAAGGTAAGTTTGGCCTGCAACTGAGTCTTCTTAAGATTGAAATTATGATTTTATTATTGTTTTTTATCTTGATGTTTTTTTAAAGATATTTGTTTTTTTTGAAGATATTTTGTTTTTGATGGTTTTTTTTTAAAGACGTTTTTAATAGAAAAGTTTATTTTTTTAACTTTTTATTTTTAGTTTTTTATAATTTTTTATAATTTTTTATAGTTTTTTATTAATAATTTTATTGTTCGTTATCGTTATATTTTTTTTAAATTTTTTGGTTTACTTGACTTACAAAACAAAAAAAAGTTGTATCTGATGTACGAGAGGAACTATGTGGTATTTATAACTTCTTTTTTTCCTACGCCTGGCTGTGCATTCACGTTAACGGTTCTGCTCATTTGTACAGTACATGCTTAATTGAAAAATATATAATGTATTACTTCAAATAAAAGTGATAGGTGATAATTTATGATAGAACTTTATAATAGAACATTATAATAGAACATCACCTTATTGGTCATGAATTTTTAACCTATAATCGTCTTTTTTTGTGTTGTAATTAAACTTGTACCGTATATTGTATTTCAAACCAGAAAAGATCAGATGGTTGTGACCATTTAAAAAAGGAAATTGATATCCTTCTACTAAGCAAATAAAATATAATAAAAAAAAAAGCGGCGGATTTTTCAGATTTGTATCGGTATCGGTGTAGCTATTTATGCACGGAGATTTCTAAATTTAAAATGTTAGGGACTCGTGTAACGTATTACAACCACTTGCTCAGCTGTTCCCGCTATCGACAAGCTGGACAATGAAAAAAAAAAGTTATCAACCAGATTTGATTAAATATAAAATATTAGATGCTACGTATTAAATGCATAAAAATTTATATATTTGAATTTTCATGCGCCACATTTATGCCGTATAAAAAAAAAAAGAAATTAAAATCAAATTCTTCATGCGTAAGGAAGCATATTTAATTTTAATGACCAATCTAATTTGAAATTTGTCATTTCTTCTTCATATGAATAATCTTCGTTATCATTGTTCAGATGATTTCAGAATGCTACACATTCTGCCATTCTACCCTTTTCTTTTCTTTCCGGTTTCGATCTTTAATTTTTTCCTGCATGAAACACAAATTTATAAATATATACAACACATGATTATAATTTCTATATTTAAATCTTTAACATTTGTAACTGTATATTTTTTCTAAAACGTTTACAAATTCCTCCTTCAAATTTCTTACATCTATTCTTGATTAGTCTTTTGAATTCTTATTCGTCTCTAAATTTTCTAACTTTTAGCTCTAAATTTAGATGTCATCGTCGATTATTAAATGATAGAATAGAAGAAGAAGAACTTGGAGCA